GTAGAAAATCAAGTAATAGATATACAAGGAAGGATGGTGGTGGTTGAGGTATGCTGTGGAATAGGTTCCGATTCATGGTGACCCTGCAGAGGTTTTCCGAGGCTGTAAATCTTTACAGGAGCAGAAAGCCTCATCTTTCTCCTGCAGAATGACTAATAACTTTGAACTGCTGACCTTGAGGCTAGCAGCCCAAATCATAACTACTATGCTACCAGAGCTCCTTACAAGAAAGGATAGAATTAGAAAATTACTATTTGGCAACTATCATAATAATTCAAGCAATGTCATCAATGAACACTAAAACTACTGGGATTAAGAGGTAAAGTAAGAGGGTTATTATGTTGGTTCCAAAAATATTTCTCCATAAGGTATTTATTTATTAATTACGAAGAAATAAAAAGCTTTTATGTGAAGAAACTTGGCAGAACCCACCTTAACTAAGTGATGAATTCTAATATCAACAGTAATGACATCAAAATATACATCATGGGTCTTCTGATATGATGCACTTTAAAGGACATAGCATCTAAAATATACAATCTAATCATGAGAAACCATTAGACAAAGTAAATTAAGGGGCATTCTATAAAATAACTGGTTTATATTGCTGTTAAGTACTGCCAAGTCATAATGATCCTGTATGGGGTTTCTGAGATCAGCTGGTGGGTTTGAATTGCCAACCTTATGGATATCAGTGCAGTGATTAGCCTACAGTGCCTTAATCTTCAAAAATTTCAAGGTCATGAAACTAAAATACTACAGAGACAAAAGAGACGTGACAACTGACTACAACAAAGCATGATGCAGGATTTGTTTTTTGGTTGGTCAATCATTTTGTCTTTCTCGGGAACAATTTCATAGAAAACTGTGATTTACCTTAGCCCTCAGCAGTCCGCTCCTGAGTTCTGAGGAAGGTTGCTGCCTTCTGAGCTCCTCAGTCTTTCTTCTGGGAAAGAGACATTTTGGGACAAATCCACCTCTTCTCTTTTAATAACTTTTTTAGGTCTCTTCTCATAAACTGGGTACACTCATAAAGATTTAGTTTTGGAAACCCTGTACAGGTTCACTATGAGTCGTAACCAACTCCATGGCATATAACCACCACCACCACTACAGTATTTATGCTAAATATAAGAGAATGTCCTTGTTTTTAGGAAACATGAACTGAAATATTTAGATGTAAGTAGGCATCATGTCTGCATTGTACAGACACAGATACATGAGGGTCCATCAAAAACTAATGCTACCAGTTCATGCATGCATGGATTTATTCCCAATAAAACATACTTAAGCATGTCTCTGTGGTCAGTAGATGGCGATAGACAGGTTTTCTCAGTAATAGACTTGTCTTAGTCTCCTAGAAGCCCTGGTAACATAATGGATTATGAATTGGACTGCTAACTGCAATGTCAGAGTTTGAATTTAGCAGCCAGTCCATGGGAGAAAGATGAGGCTTTCTGTTCCCATCAAGATTTACAGCCTCTGATTTACACTATAGCGCATAACCACCACCAACGGTCTCATAGGGTGTCTTCGAACAAACAATACAATCAAAACCGTAGGGAAACCTTATCCCGTTCACCCCACAGCCCTGACCTTGTTCCTTCAGACATCTTTTTGTTCCTGAAATCCAAAGAAGATGGAAGAGGACCACAATTTGTGCTCCTTGAGGATGCCAAAAGTGCCATTTTGACGTCAATGGAAGAGCACAGAATTCTTTGGGGGAAGGGTTGCTGCTATTGTTGTGAGCCATTGAGGCAGTTCTGACTCACAGAGACCCTGTATAGGGTTTTCAGGAGTGAGTGGTGGGTTTGAACTGCTGACCTTGCATTTACCAGTCCAGCGCTTAACATACAGCACCACACCAGGGCTCCTGAAGAAGGGTTGTTGTTGTTGTTGTTGTTAAGTGCCGTTGAGTCGGTTCTGACCCATAGCGACCCTGTACAGGGTTTCCGAGGGTGTAAATCTTTACGGGAGTAGAAAGCCTCATCTTTCTGGTAGTTTCGAACCACTGACCTTAAGGTTCGCAGCCCGATTCGTAACCACTACGCTACCAGAGCTAGATGAAAACACCACCTTCAGAAATACATAGTTCTAGATATGTTGCAAAATAATAATAGGTTCACATTTTGATATTTTTTGGTTAATAAAGGTGTCTTTGATTTTGTAGCAAGACTTTTTCACTTACCCTCAAAGATGTTGATTGAAATTGAAAGAGAGAAAGCAACTATGTTAAGATGTTAGCACTTAGAGAATTGGGGTGAAAGGTATGCAACAATTCTTTGTACTAGTCTTATAACTTCTGTGAAGGTCTAAAATTATGCCAAAATAAAAAGTTAGAAGAAAAACAGGGCACCCAAAAGAAAGTGAAAAGACAAGACTAATTTGGAAGAATATATTTATAAGACAAAGGAGTAAGATTCAGAACATGTAAAGCAACCCAATAGAAGAATGGCCACAAAACTTGGAGGAGAATTTCATAGACAAGGGAACAGGAATAACCAAAAACATTTGAAAATATGTCCATCTTCATCAGCAAACCCAAACAACAACAAAATGCTACTTTATACTAATCAGATTGACAAACATATATCAGCCAATAAATGCTGCTGGGGGTATGGAGCAACTGGAGTGCGCCTCCACTGCAGATGGGGCATTAACTGGAGCCACCGTTTTACTGGGTGTTATCGAGCCACGCCCATGCTTCATGTACCCTGTGAGGGAGTCAGCACCAAGAGATGTGCCTAGGAAAAGTGGTCATGGCCACCGTAAACAGAAAACATGGAGCTCTCCCCCACTGCCACTTTCCTTAGCTGAGAATCCACAATTTTTGCATTGCACATGCTAAATCCAAGGCACAGAGGAAAGAGGCTCCCCAAAGCACCATGTGTGGGCTCTAAGGGAGGTTCAGAGGAAAGGTCTGGTGTGGTACAGGGGAGGGAGAAGGGGAGAGCAGGAAGGAGGGCTCTCAGTCTTAGCTCTGGCAAAGCAGAGGAGACCAGAGCAGAAAAGATCCCCAGCAGGCGTCTCTCCCAGTCGCTGTCTGGGTTCTTGGAATTTGAGGAGAGGGTTCTATCGTACCCCCGTCCTAGTCAGGCAACAGAAGAAGATGCTCCAGATGACCCCAAACTCTCAACTTTCCTTGAGCATTCACTATCTCTCTAAAAAAGGGCCAATTCTACATTCGGGTTTGCAACTATGCAAGAAAGTCTGAGGCCCCTGAGGCCCAGCCACAAAGCCCAAAATCTCCTCAATGCCCAGGGTTCACTCTGCCAGCAGATGGCGCCAAGATCACGGTGTTGTAGCAACACAGAGCCCCGACTGCTGTGGATTACACAAAAACCAACTGAAATTATGTGTTTTTTCCCCCCGGGCCAGATTTATTTCCTGAACAAGGTTCCCTCCACTACTAATGTCTGTGACTAGCCTCTGCTTGACACAAACTCCCATATTCAGGTCATCTATAGGGACGGTCTCAAGGCTAAATGGGGCCTTTGGGGTTGCTCAGTGTCTGGCAGTGAGATCTGGGAAGCTGGACAGCATCTCCTGAAGGGTTCCAAGCCACTGGTTCAAAGCTGGGCCAGCCTGTGGTTCTTTCAGCTGTTAGGCCTTCCTAGATGAGGTCTCTGTGCCAGAGTCATGGGGTAACTTACGTCCACACTGCTGGTTCTGGGATATCAGATGTGTGTCCCCATGGGGCCAATATGGACACATCCACTTTCTCATGGCACTGACTTGCACAGACCACTTGAGCAAGAGCTAAGGGTTTCCGGAATCTGTGCCTACCTCCTCATGTCCATTACAGCAATGGGGAAGCTGAAATTGAGAAGGACAGGGGCTTACCCAAGGGCACACCAGGGTTATTTCTTCACAGGCTTCCAGTCCTTGTGAAAACTTTTTGCTCCATCCATCTTCTCAAGGAAACGGGGATGCTGCAGGATGTTCAGAGTCACAGGTCCCAGTCACCTAGGTGCTGCCTCTGTGCAGAGTAAATAATTGTGAAGTGGAACTACTCACCTGAAGGGGATCTCCTGCCACCCACAGGTGGGGGAGCACGTTCTGCCCCCTGCACCCTCCTACTGCCCTCCCCCAATCCTTAGCATCCCTGATTCCAACCTTAGGTCCCAGGACTGCTCCATGCGCCACCTCCTCATCACTTCTGACCCCAACTTTCTTGACTCTTACCTTAGCATCTGGAAGAAGGGGGCAGAATCATGCTTTAGTATTCCCACTGGAGGGTCTCAGTGGACATACCCTGCATTAACTCTCCTCCTCTGCCTTCATGGGAATGGGACCTCCTCAGCCAAGTTTGGCCACATGACTGGTGTGGGCCTTGCTGTTCCTCTCTGAGCTGCTAACTGGGTTGCCTTCCCAGCAGTCAGGAATCCTCACTGTGATCCTGTAGAAGGCAAACTCCCTCTCCTCAGCCTTACCTGCAGTGGGAGACAGACCAGGGGAGAGTGGACAAGTCCCTCCCTGAACGGGCTACCACTATCACAAGCAAATAAGGGACAGTGGACCCTGGATTATCAGATCTTATTTTTGGAAGTCAAGCATCCAGGTTTTTTAAAAGCTGAAATCAATATTTTAAATGTATGTAATATTGTGATCTCAACCTGAGTGCAAATGGGAACAGCTCTTTGAGATCTCTGCTGAGGAACTGTCAGATGCAAGTCTGTAGATTTGGAGCAGTAGTTTCTAGGACCAAAGCAGAAAAGGCAGGCACAAACAGTCTAGACATTGGGACTGTCAGAGCTGGAAGGTTGGGACACCACGGCCCAGAGCAAAGTCACTCTTAGGACCTGACATGTTGCCCAAGCCGACTTGCTTCTTGGCCAGTTGTGTTTTGGAACATTGCCCAACACTGGGGTCTGTAGCAAAGGAAAGGAGAAACTCTCTTTCCGGAGACGCCAGTCCCACATGTCACCATCAGTTCTTGGGCAAGGAAGATAGTGTAGCACTTATAAGGGCCCAAGAGTGGCAGTGGGTGAAAGAAGAGAATGGCAGGGGTCTGGAGGGCACTAATGCTAATGGTGGCCTTGACCATCATGAGCTGTGAGGCTTACCGCAGACTGAGCTATGAGAGCGTTGTCACTCAGGCACTGCAGTTCTTCAATCAGGGACGAATAGGAGAGCCTGTCTTCCGCCTGCTGGAAGCCATCCCACCACCACGCTCGGTGAGTGTCCACAGGGCCCAGGTAGGGAAGAGGGTAGGAGGTCTAATTCCAGGGTGACCTTGGGTAATGTGTCGCTGGACCTTGGTTTTCTTCTGTGAAATTGTGAAGTAGGTAACACCTGCCTCATAGAAGGCTTTGAGACTGGCAGGCAGGAGAGGAATTATGTCAGAGACAAAGTTAAGGTTAGCTAATATTGCCATTATTATGATGATGGTGTTCCTCCTATGGGAAAGTACAATAAGACTCAACGAAGAGCTTTGGTCGGAGTCCTGGTGTGGCACGGTGGGTTAATGCGCCAGACTGCAAAGCCATTTGAACTTCAAAGTCGGTGGTTCAAGCTTACCAGCTGCTCCTTGGAAACCCTACACAGGGTTGTTATGGGTCAGAACTGACTCGATGGCACTTAACAACACTATCAAGAGCTTTGGCCAAGGATCCCAAGGATAACATGGGATCTGAGAGCCAAACTTGTACTCAGACCTCCTCCTTGATGGAATATGCAGAGCTGCTTAAAAGATAGACAGACACTGAGCTGGTTTCCTGGCAGCTGAACATCTGGAGCAGGGAATGTCACAGAAGATCAAACTGAGAGGCAAAGGCAGGAAGTGACCCCCTCAAGTGGAACAGCTATTAAGTTATTAAGTGGTATCCCATGGCGAGTTTCAGAAAGTCCCACACTCCTTACATCTTTGCTGAGGCCACCTAATAAGTACCTTTGCTTCAGTGGTTAAGTACTGAGTCTCAGAGACATAGGTTAAGCCCCTTCCAACTACGTGTCCTTAAACTCTCTCTGTCTCTGTTTCTTTAACTATAAAAGAAAGATGATCATGTTTGTTTTCTGTTGCTTCTTTAGAACTCCACCTCAAAAGCGATCCCTCTCAACTTCAGGATTAAAGAGACTGTGTGCCTTTCAACCCAGCAGAGACCTCAGCAAGAATGTGCTTTCAGGGAGGGCGGGGTGAGTGACCCCTCCCTTGTGGGCTTGACAAAGACTCTCTGGGGCCTCAAGGGGACCTCTACTTCCTTCATCTGGCCATGCAAGATTTCACTGTGGAAGCCTTTTTCAAAATCAGATATTTGCTTATTGCTTTCTCTTATTATAAATTTTATATTATAAATGATTATGAATCATGATTATAAAAGCTACAAAGGAGTCCTGGTGTGGCACTGTAGGATAAACACTGGACTACTAACCACAATGTGAGCAGTTCAAACCTACCAGCCACTTCTCGGAAAACTTATGCAGGTTTGCTATTAGTTGGAACCAACTGGAGAACAATTAACAGCAACATGTTACAAAAATGTAAAAAGAAAACAAAGTTGGGGGTATACTTCACTTAGAGGATACTGCTTTTAAACAGTAAAATGATTATTACAGCAAGTTTAGAAAAAGTGGAGAAGTAAAATCAAACAGAAATCTCTAGCAGCCCCACAACCCAGGGACCGACAACAACTGGGGCACAAATATACATTTTAAACAAATAAGGCTTCCTCTGGGCATGCTGGAGTCTGGGTGTGGCCTATATACCAGACTGCTAACCATAAGGTCGGTGGTTCAAATCCATTAGCCGCTCCTTAGAAACCCTATGAGTTGGAAGTGGCTCAATGGCACTTAACTGGGCATGCTACTTTATGAATGCCTTTGCCTTGCAATGGCTTATTTTAATGGGTGCACATCTAGTCCAGTTGGGTCCTTTCCAGAGAGTGATTTGCACCTGTTTTTAACTAGGGCAACCCTCATGCCTTTGGTTTGAGGAAGGTTTAGGGATGATCCCATGGGGGAGGGGAAAGTGCGTCCCCAAGGGTCTACAGGGTCCTCCAGACTCAGGGCCGGAGGGCAGCTGATCACCAAGGCAGCTTCTATTGGGGTTGGTGACCCTAACGCTTTTGATTCCTGACCCCACAGGAGGAGCGAAACTGCACTGGCAACTTCCTCATGGTGCGGCATTTTCGCATTCTAGCAGTGGACTGTTCCAGGGACCGTGGGCGCCAGCAAGAGGTGGGCACTAGTCCGGCTGCAAAGTGGGGACCAGCCAAGCCTACACACACTTCACCCCTTTTCCCCTCTCTTTGCCTTTCCCTCCGCCTCCTGCATAAACTCCACGGATCCCCTTAGCTGTCAGCTCTCTTCTGGGTCAACATCAGCACTGAAGTGCCCCAGTCTGGGTGACTAACTTCAGCGCATTGGGTCTCAACTTCCTCTCTGGAAAATGGGGCTAAGTTCGTTTCAATTCAAGTTACTGGAAGAGTTAACAACCTTGGTTCACGTGGGAAGGCTTGTTGACTGCTGATCATTTAGCAGGAGATGGGGTAGGGCAGTAACCCCTGGTCTGAGATGGGGTGGGGTGGTGGTGCCAGGATATGTCTAGGGGTACTTAGAATTCTCAGGACATGATGCTGCTCTAGACTGTAGCCCCACAGACCTGTTGGAGGTCTCAATACCTTGCTTAGGAAAACTGAAATCAAAGGTAAACCCTCCTGGCAGGTAAGCGGAATAGCCAGGATGGAAATGAGTCCTCAGAGTCCAGGCCTGCCCACGTCTTCTCTGCTCCAAGAAGAAGAGTAGACCCAGGACCACTTCACGCCTAAGAAGGGACAACAGGCAGGTAGAAAAAGGGAACTAACAATGACAGCGCTGAGGGGGACTATCTGGTGTCACTTCTGCAGGGCCTCCGGAACAGGCGCTCTGCCGAATCCTCCCAGGACACCCCTCCAGAGGCCAAGAGCACCAAGCTACCACCTGTGGTCAGGAACCTGTATGAAAGAGCCAAGTATGACATCATCGCCAACATCCTAAGGAATTTCTAGAGCCAGAGAAGAGAGGGGAGACCCTGTACCCTCACTATGACTTCCTGTTCCCCACCTGTCCCTCTCTCTCTGCTGCCCCAAAGTGGCCCTCTGCTATCTCTTTCCTGCCCAGCCTAGAGGTGCCCCTTACAGAGGGCCCTGAAAGCCCTGAGTTAGCCCATGCTCCTCTGCCTTTGTATAATCTGTTTCTTACTGCCTAGAATTCCTGCCCCAATCCTGTGTCTGGGAATCTCAGTCATCTTTCAAGTCACAGCCCAAAAGTCTCCTCCTCCAGGAAGCCTCCCCTGCTCTCTCTGGGCAGAGGCATTCGTCCTTCATCCATGCACTCATGATCCTCAGACTGGCATCACCTGGGTCTACTCACAGCTGGGCTCCTCTGAGCCAACTGCAGGTGGCTATGGAATGAGTTTCTCAACAGGGTACCCCGGCACTCTGGGAGGGTGGTTCCTTTTGTGCAGGACCCTGAGCATGCCTGCTTTCTACCCCATCACTGCCATAACCAAATGTCCCTTCATAGATCCAAGCACTTCCAACAGGGTCAGACTACCAGTGAGTACGAATCACAGGAAAGCAGCTCAATAAAATGTTTCTGAAATAAATGAGTGAATTAATGAAATGCTAGAGAGAGGCTGGACTGCTATCTAGGGGATTTGGCTGAGGAGCCATATGGGACACACCATGGGGGTGGGGGTCCACTGCACATCATGGAAACCCAAATTCCAGGAGTTGAGGATAAGGGCCATGGAGAAAAACCACTGGAGACGGGGTCATCTCCCTCAAACTCAACAGCCTTTTGTTCCTTTATGCACCATTACGCCCTCACCTTAATTATAAAGCTCCAGTCAGAACCTCTCTGCTGAATCCCAGACTTGCACATTAGACTATCTCCTGGACATCTCCTTGTGGATATCTAGCAAGCATTACACACTCAGTTTTTTTCCTCTAAACCTATTTTTCCTGAAGCCCTCCTCAGTCCAAGATGGCAACTTCAGGTACCCATAAACCTTGGAATCCTGGTTTGCTTCTCATCCTTTCACAACCTACATCTGGTCCTTCAACAAGGCTTTTGTTTTAGTCACTGATGGATTCCCAGGCTCAAGAACAGTACCTGGTACATCATAGTTTCTCAGCAGATATTTGTTGAATGAGTGAATGCCCTTTTTGATTCACTAACATACTCCCTCAAGACTCTTTCATTCCAGGGGCTATGGCATAGAGTCATAGCCCCAGGGAGACAAAGAATACCTCTCCATTAATAATACTAACAGCCATCATTAATGAATGCCACTTCTCATAAGGTTCTCAGAACTGCTTTGCAAGCTGTATGCATAATCTGCAACTTTCAGTGCAGAAACCAAGTCTTAAGGAAATTGGGCCTATAGTTCAAATCCCAACCCACTTGCCAAGTAAATTCTGTGCAGCACCCATGGAGGAGGAGAGGAGGGAGCAGGAGATGCTGTAGGGAGTGACACTAGGGTGGGGTTAGGAAATGGGCAGGTGTTGGTCAAGCAGGCTAACCTGAAACTCTCAAGCCCTTGCCACATGGTGGGAAAATGATATTTACCTGGAGAAGTCTACTTCCAACCTTGCAGCCTCAAAGAACATACCTCACACACACCTTCACATCACTCCTGAGAGAAGGGTCCCAAGATCCTCTGCAGGCAACAGGCCCTGCCTCTTGGGCTCCAGACATTAGGGGACTGAGATAAGCAGCTCTTCCCGGGAAGCTCCAGGGTCTATCTAGGGCAGTCAGTACCACATCACATAAGGCCTAGGGAAGCTGGCCCACTATAGTGCCCTCTGCAGGAAGAGTCCAGCCTGCAGGGCTCAGCCACAAAGCCCTGCTGGAGCCGAGCCTGTTCCATCCACCAGCCCCAACACCATAAGTGCCCTGACAACTCCGAGGCTCCAAATGCTGCTCAGTCATTTGATCTCAGGAGGTTCTGAAAATCTTAAGGCTAAGAAGCTAAGAAGGAGAAGGGCGAATTTACCTGGGGCTTGCAGGGAGCAGAATAGATGAACAGAGATCTCTGGAGTAACATTTAAGGACCTCAGAAATAAAATTCTACTCCACATACATAGTCACACACATGCAAATGGGAGTTTTATTTTAAAGCAAAAATTATTTCAATGTGTCAAAATCCATAGGACAACACAACATAGCATCAATACTAATGTGCATTGGTGAGCACTATATCAATATTGGTTCAGCAATTATAAAATGTACTACAAAAATGCAAGATTCCAATAATAGGAATTAAGACCCTAAGTGGCACCAACAGTTAAATGCTTGACTACTAGCTTTTAACTAGTTCAAAGGTTGCCAGTTCAAACCCATCCAGAAGCGCCTCAAAAGGCAGGTCTGGTGATCTGCTTCTCAAAGGTCACAACCTTGACAAACCTATAGAGCAGTTAGTTCTACTCTGCACACCTGGGGCCTCATGGGATTGTCATAAGTTGGAATCAACTAGATGGCAACAAATAACAGTAATAGGAGAGACTATGCAAGGAGGGAGGAGAGAGCTTATGGGAGCTCTGTGCTTCCTGTGGAGTTCGTGTGTGGTGCAAATGGTGAAGACACTTGGCTGCTAACCAAGAGGTTAGCATATGAAATCTACCCAAAGGCACTTCAGAAGAAAGGCTGGTGGTTTACTTCCAAAAATTCCACCACTGAAAATCCTATGGAATACAGTTTTATTCTGATACACATGGGGTCACCACTGAGTCTGAATTGATTTCATGGTAACTGGTTAACTTGTCCTTCCTGCACAATTTTTTTTTTTTTGTAAACCAAAACTGCTCTAAAGGTAGAACAAACAAGATGGTGGAGAGGAAAGGATAGAAGCGTGGTGAGGACCTCTGTCAGCAAAAACACAGAATACCAGACCAAGCAGGCTCAGGGGATGGTCCCAAAACTCTGAACCACATATAAAGGAATATTTAGAAAGTTGGAAGGCTTACAGCCAATGGAATTTGTTATAGAAGCAAGAAATCCAGTGTTTTCTAATCCAAGATGCTAAGCTGGTCCCACAGTGGCCATCTTGGGTGAGACCAAACAGGCGAAGGATCAGAGCAGCCACAGACACCTGACAGAACCCCAGACACAAAGGTGTGGACATTCTTTTTTTTTTTTTGTATCTGTTCATTGGTCTCTCACTGTCTGCGCACCTCCATTCTGGTGACTAGAGGGGTGCCTGAGCAAGTGGACACCCCACCCCCAGAGGGTTCTACTATGCGTGCACACAAATCACCTCAAAATTTAAAGGAACAGTTTCACTTAAAAGCAAATGGCGTACACACAGTAGACAGGGATGGGAAACTTGGACATTGGCCACCCAAAATAGGGGAGGGGGGAGCTACAAAGGCAAGAAGTGACTGCCTTACAAGCTTTCAAGAGGGAAGCTAGATTCATAGGGCCTGGAGGAAGGTAGAATCTCCACTGAGTAGTATACAATCTGTCTAGGCGTGGCTGATGAAATGAAATCCAGATGGATCTCTTGTGATACAATAGTGAATAATTTTTACCTGGACTGCTTGTGAGGGTTGGAATTGTAAAGCTAGACTTTTTTAGCAAGGAAGGGAGTGATTAACTTTTCAGCCTAAGAGCGGAGGTCCCTGAGACCATCAAGGGAGAAGAGTGGAGAGCGTGACCCTACCCAGAGAAGCAGTGATGCCTAAGATGAAGGCAGAGACAATTACGTGGAGAGATGGAGGTGTTGGGGACTTTAGACACAGAGAGGGAGAGGGGCTGTGTGCTGATGACAAGGGGGCAGGCTTGCAGTGTATATCCTTTGATTGGTTGATGATACATGGAGGGGATTGTAACCATAGCAATGAAATGATATACTATAGGATGAATATAAAACTAATGCTCTCCCATGTAAACTATCCCATAATTCATAATAAAACATTTTAAAAAAAGAAAAAGCAAATGACAGCGCAAAATGGCACAGCTGGCCCTGAACTGTTTATCACTAGGAAAAAGGCCTACAAAAACCAATACCAATTGCCATACAACAGTTAGGCAGCCAACACCTGCAACAGTTACTCTCAGTCAAGTAATAAGAAGAGTGTAAAGGGAAGCCCATCTCCTGATCACATCTACTTGGAGGTAATCAGAAAGCATAAAAAAGAACAAAACACACACTCGTATAAGTAGTAAGGCCACAGCTATCTACTGTGTATGCCCAAGAAACAGAAACAGATGACTGTATCAACACATGTCAAGAAGAAAGATAAAGTGACTGAGACAAATGAGTTGGAGGTAGACCTACACTCCATACTGGAAGGAGGTCAGGCTTTGGAAATGCTGGAGAAGGAATTCAGAAAGATGATTATAAAATTTATCAAAACCCTTTACAATGGAGTTGAGAAACATAAGGAAGAAGTCAGGAACGTGCTACAGGAACAATCAAATAAGATAGATACAGTATTGGAAACAACTCAAATCCTATAGAAAGAGATCAAAACAATAATAGAATATCAGAAATGGAAAATACACTGAAAGGGCAAAGGAGGAGAATTGAAGAAACAGAAGCCAGAACTAGTGAGCTAGAAGGCAAATCTCTCAATACTACCAAGATAGAAGAACAAGCAGAAAAAAGGATGAAAAAAATCTGAAAAAGGTCTAAGATTCATGTAGAACAATACAAAGAGGAATAATTTATGAATTATCGACATTCTGGAACAGGAAAAATCACACAAGTCCACAGAAGAGGAGGTAGGTAAGGATCTTCTGGAAGATAATTTCACTAACATCCTGAAAAGCAAAAAGATAAGCATTCAAGAAGCTCAACGAATCCCAGGAGAGATAGACCCTAAAAGAAAATTACCGAGACAGATTATAATCAAGCTCTCCAAAATCAAAGATAAGGACAGATTCCTGAAAGCAGCTAGAGGAAAGAGAAGTGTTACATACAAAGGCAAGCAAATCAGATTAAGCTCAGATCTCTCAGCAGAAACCATGCAGGCAAGAAAACAATGGGGAGACATATATAAAA